TTTGGGAAAAGCTTGACGAGCCGGTGGGCACAATTCACCTACTCACACTCTTCTCAGCTGACTCCATTCTCCTTTAGCTATTCCTCGAGGAAGAGCGCGAGCGCGAGCTCGAGGCACTCTACGAATCTGGGATCGCAGACACGCTCAACCGGAGCGACGCACCAATCGGGAGCGGCGCGGACGGCGCGGACCCCACGCTCGCGCAGGGCGCAGAGGCGACCGCGGTCTCGAAGCAGACGACGGAGACCCTCATGGCAGGCGAACGCATCATGGAGGCGCTCGAGCTTGCGGACGGCGAACGCGCGGCACAACAGGAGTACGCGGAGGCAAGGGCTGCGGGCGGGCTTGGCGAGCAGGTCGCGCCGCCGCCACGGCACCCCATCCTCGCTGCATATGACGTCGAGCCGGAGGAATATGTTCTGCGGGTGGTCGAGAAGGTGCCTGGGACAGCGCTATACGACGCGCTGCTGGTGCTGCCATTCGGGAAGGTCGTGAGCTTGATGCAGTATTTGAACGTCTGGGCTCAGAAGGTGCGTCGCGTGCGTTTTATCGAGCCTTTGCGGTGTGCTCATTATTCTCTTGGCAGGATTGGAACATCGTTCTGACGTCGAGGATCATATTCTTCTTGCTGAAGACGCATTACCACCAGATCGTCGCCAACCGCATCATGCGCACGGCCCTCGTCCCGCTGCGGAAGCACCTTCGAGAGTCGCTGCGGAAGCAGAAGGACACAGTCGCGTACAACCTCGCTGCGCTCAGATACATCAAACGACAGAATGACGCTCAGCGGATTGCGGAGTTCTATGAGGAAGAAGGTATGGACGAGGAGAAGGCCAGGGAAAGGATTGCTGAAGGTAAGAAGAGGAAGCGCGTGGCGATCAAGTCATGATACATTAACAAGAAAGAGTATGAGATGTTCCATATCACGATGTTAAAAGTACAATACATAGGATGTCAATACAGGTCTAGAGTCTAGCGATACATCCAAAGGGAGTACTGTGTAGTGACGTTGTCCGTTTGTCCAAGATGGTCCATAATCGGTATTGTCCTGTGCGCACCAGCGCGATGTTGCTCCTTACAGTTGTGGTTCGTGAAGAATGTTTCTCCTCGGTCCTTGGGGCACTCACGCCTTCGGTCCCCATAGACTTTCGAGCCTGTACAGCAGTACGTTAAACCATCAAATTGTGTGCATGCGGAAACAGCTCACCATCCTTCAAGTGGGTCACTGGCTGGACGCATTTGTACCGTGAGCACCCCTTCGGCGAGGTCGGCGAGAGACGCAAAAGCAGCCTTGGTGAGATCGACGTGCTTCGAGCCGACAGCACAACCCGCGCAGGTGTCGACGACGCGCACAAACACGCACTTCTGGGGTGAGTGACAGACTATGAAATTGGTGATTAGGCGTCGATACAAGAGCGAGGAACTGGACGTACGCTCGACGAATTTGAAACACTGGGGTCGGTTCTTCCACCCTTCGAGCGTGACCGCGCTGACCATAGACTCGTCCTGGTCACGCAGATCAGCGAAAGCTGGCATAAGGAATCTCGGTATCAAACGCACCGTCGGCGTCCAGGCAGTTTTGGACCAGCAGCTCGGGTTCAACAAGTCGTGACCAGTGTACCAAGTGATGGTGACAGGCTCCGGGTCTCCCATGGCTTTCATGGATTCCACGACGGACTTGACGGACCCGAGCAGGCCATTGGCAGCACTGTTGACACTGGAAGTGGTTTTTGCAGCCTTCGACGCAACCTTCGGGGTCTTGATGGCCTTCTTTGCGGCCTTCTTTGCAGTCTTCTTTATGGATTTCTTGGACACCTTCTTGTTGGCACGCTTAGTGTGAGCACGCGGTATTGTTGGACCGTCATCCTCCAAGTCGGTCAGAGAGCGCGAGTACTTGTACTGCAGATTCGTGATGTTGACCGATTCCCAACCGTCTCGGGGGTCGAACTGGTAGCTTTCGCCAAGTGAGTGCGCGGTGCTGTAGCGCCGTTCCAGGGAGCTCTGAGAAGTGCTGATGTCGGCAGCACGAGAAGTAGTCATGAGAGGCACGAGCCCGAGCGAGACGAGGAGAACTGCAGCGAGGAAAGTTAAGCGAGGCATCTTGATGCTGAGGGCGGGTGAAGGGGGATAGATGCGGGAAGAACGAGAATGTAAAGACAGGCCTGCCTGAGGGCGTGTGAGCGGTAGCTAGTGAGAAACGCAAGGAGGAGGAGGAGAGCGAGGACGACGCGCGAGAAGACGAACCATGGGACCGCGTCGCGTCACGTGCCGTCGCGTCACATCGCGTCTTCGTTCCTCCGGGCGCCGCTCTCGGACAGGCTCACAGTATGCCTGTCCCTCTCTGCCTCACACTTACCCAAGTACTACATACGCCTCTGGGGGATACATAAACTCTGCAAGCTACTGCAAGTGAACTGAACCCTTTCTCTACTATGGCACCCAAGATTGCGCCGAAGCTCAGTGGGACCCAGCTCGTGCACGGCGATGATGAGCTCGTGCACGGCAAAGAAGTTGCCGCGTCCATCTCGGTCACTACTAGTGAGCCTTGGCTACGCTCTATGTCGGTTGACGTCCCCATATTGATACACGACCCTCAGCCTTCAAGGCTCCACTTCCTGAGAGTAACAAGCCCATCGACCTTGAGGGGTTTGACGTGCGCAATCCAGAGAGGCATATCTACTCTCGCTATACCCAAGATGTCAGCACTCGTGCAGAGAGAGTCCTCAGCAAGATTAACGTAAGCATGACTCTTCTGCTTGCCGACATCTACTAAATGATGGATTGTGCTCAGGGCGGATTCGCGTTGACGTATGCGTCAGGCCTGGCCGCTTCATACGCAGTAAGTACAGGCGACTGGTCTCCTCCGATCCCATCCGGTCAACTGTTCCCCAAAGGCGTTAGTAAACTCCCATCCAAAACGGATCGCTATCAGCGGCGGATATCACGGATGTCATGCTACCATCGAAGTGTACAAGCGCAGTCGTGGTAGCGACATTCCTGTCATTGGCATAGACGACGCCTACCAGCCGGGAGACCTTTGCTGGCTCGAGACCCCTCTCAATCCCACTGGAGAAGCCCGGTGAGCATCTTGTGTTCGTGCCGTCGCGTGCTTACATACTGAACACCTCATCAGAGACATAAAATATTATGCCGACAAGGTCGGGACTTGCGCTTTATTCACAATGCATTCGTGCTGACGCCACAGGGCATGAGTAGGCACACGCAGCCGGAGCGACAATCCTAGTAGACTCAACGTTTGCTCCGCCGCCTCTCCAATACCCATTCAGATGGGGCGCGGATATTGTCATGCATAGCGGTGAGTACTACAGCCCTTCGACACATGCCGACATGCGTCATAATGATCCCCAGGCACCAAGTACTTTGGCGGACACTCGGATCTGCTGTGCGGTGTACTTATCGTGCCAACCGAGGCCGAGTGGCGGACGGTAAGTTTCCAAGTTCGTGCTACCCGATCGATTCGATCAGGTCGGTCTCCGGCGCGCGGAGGCTCCTTTGCTTCCCCGACGAAATCAAACCTATGTCGGCTACTTTGCACCCGCGAACGGATGCTTGCTTCTCTGTGTGCGACGTCTAGTCGCTAGATGAACGCCTTGCCGCACTTGACCTGCCGCTGACGAGCGTATATCTTCACAGCTGTGGAATCAACGTACGTACCTCGGAAACATGATGGGCTCCCTCGAGTCGTGGTTGCTCCTGCGCTCCCTCCGCTCGCTGCATCTACGCGTGCCGCGCCAGTCGGAGAACGCGACGGCGCTGGCGAGCTGGTTGAACCAGGCTGCCGGGGTAAGTACAATAGCGTGTACACGACGCGGTCGCGCTGACAAGTTCCCCCGGTGTTAGGGCAAGCCTTTCGACGGGGTCCCTGCGGGCGTCATCGAAAAAGTATGGCACTCAAGGCTGCAGGGCAAGGACTCTCGGGGTTTTGACCCGAGTGTTCAGATGGAAGGTGGGTGGAATGCTACGTTCTCCATTCTGGTCAGTCGTATCCCTACTCCTCTCCGCGGATTCCCATTCATATTGCGGCACACAGTTGAGGAGCCCGGATCATGCTCGACTGCTCCCGCACTCACTGGAATACTTTGTGGTGAGTATTCACATATCCAGCATGTTCCTTGCGCGGCAGATGCTCACTCGCTTGCGACGTAGCCTGCGACGAGTCTTGGGGGCGTCGAGTCGCTTATCGAGCAACGTAGCACGGCTGACGCAAGCGCGGACCCAAGGTTGGTCCGTATCAGCTGTGGTGTTGAAGATATCGAGGTGCGTGCAATGTTGTTTGCGCGTTAGCAGGGACTCATGAAATGGGCTACAGGACCTGAAGAATGACCTACGGAAGGCATTCCAGGCCATCACGAACCCGAAGCCGAAGTTGTAAAAGCATGTGCAATGTGTAGTATCTTTAGCCAATATCCATATCAAATGTAGCATAAGTCTACTATTCTATTGTCGAGAGAACAAGGGGATATAACACATGTTATACCGTCACACTCCGAGTCGGGCCATTCCTCTACACGGTGTTAAGGTGAACCAGATCGGATTGACAAACCTGAGGCTCCGAGTTGACTTTGCTCCTGCCAGCCTTTACCTTTTGGTCCGTGACTCTACATCTAGTCATGGGTTGGCCCAATTCCAACTTGTGGTCGCACAATATTTCATATCAGCACCTCGAAGTAGGCGATGCAAATGTCTGTCCACCCATCCTTTTGCTGACGCACAACATGAACGATGTGCTGTTTCCCCCCATTTCTTTATCAGAGCTCTGGTCCTCCGAGTAAGGTAGCGACCAGTCTAGCGGTCAATGTGTGTGAGTTTGATGATGTTGTGGGGCGCCCGAGTCGACTCAGGCTCTTTGCCTTGGAAAACTGGAGTACTCACTATTGTCATAGCGTACAAATTGTGACTCCACAGATTCAGCTGGCTTAGGGAATGTGCAAAAGCGACTCGCATAACCCGAGCTCTGATACACAAAAGAGGGAAAATAATGACCACCGCAGGGGTCGAACCTGCAATCTCCTGATTTTACGAAAGCAGTCGTAGTCAGACGCGATGCCATTTCGCCAGGCGGCCATTTTAGTGATATTGGTAGTAAGTAATATCACTGGATGTGAACCATGTGCAACACTTGGTAGACAAAGGCGGGTTGCTTTGATTGGTTGATCGATGTACGGGTCTGTATGCTCATTTGCATGGGCTGGTATCAAGTGTCGCGGTGTTGACATCCACATGAGGTCCACGAGCTTTTGAGGGCCTGCTCAACCTCCGCCTGACGGTAATGGCAGCCATTGCAAACGCCACTATGGCCTCACCACGTGATCTACACAGACGGTGACGGTGCGAGTCGTGCGAGTCGCGATCAAGCTGAAGCATGCCTCGTCTCGTCCCGCGGCTCCTCCAACGTCTACAGTCACATCTCTCGAAACAACCAATCATCAAAATTAGACCACGCTCTAAGACACCCCACAGACCAGCCACTTCTCCGCCTCCAACATGCCCTCCGCTGTCCCCGAAAGGCCGGACCCAGTCCATAATCCTCGACTCTTTGCATCCCATCATGAGTATCTCCAAGTTTCGTAGGCACAAGGAGCCGTATGCGCCTCTCAGGGTACACCAGAGACTAAAGACGCACATACGAGATCGGGACCGTGGATTGCATCCCGTGCGGGTGATGTCTGAGGAAGAGAGGACGTTGTGGGCGAGTCCATACCGTGCGTCGCTCAGGCTGTTTGTTTCCGCGGCCAATGCTCAACGTGGAGGCAGTCCGAATGTTGGCCACGACCGTCCGATTCTCTGCTGTAGGAAACCGACATATGCCCTCTGGTGCGTTTGTGTGTTATGCACAGAGGCCTTTCTCACACCATGACAGCATTCCTCCTTCGATTCTCCGCAAAACGCGTGCACAACGGCTTGTCTTCGCCAGTCGTCGTCGTTCCGGATGCGCTTGAGCACCCAACGTTCAGACAAGCACACCTACCTGGTACGGGACACTACATCGTCTGTCGGAAAGATGCAATTGCAGTCATGCGAGAGAGACGTATGTCGCGCCCACCTATGACCCTTGCAAGGACTCACTGTTTACTCATAGACACCTGGAGGCGATCATATCCTACCGCACAGCCCCATCCCGGGATCGAGGAGCAGGTTGACCACTTGCTGCGTGTACGTATCCTCCAAGAACTGCACCTCCTTCTGCGGACCCTCAGACGCAGGCCGCGTGAAATCGGAGACGCAGAAACACCTCTCCTCCGAAGGCTTACTCGCGCTGAGTGGGAGGTGATGAAGGAGTCGGGTACACTCCCGCAAGAGGACGCGATCGCAGTCCTTGTCGTACCCCCAGTGAACCGGGACCCTCTTACAAAAATGAGGCCGGAGCCGTCCATGTCCTCACTACCTCCACCTAAACCAGCGCCTACAGATGCAGGAACACGACCATTGCCTTCTGTCTCGACTTTGATGACGACTACGTCAGACTGGTTCGATGGTCAACTGTCTACGAGCCTACCTCAGGCCAAAGTCCCCCTTTACAACGGTATTGCCGTATTCCCGAGACGAGAGCAGCGAGCTTCCTGTCACAAACTGCTAACGGGAATCCTTGATACTGAGCGTCGGGCCCGGCAATATGCCAAGGCGAAGGACCGGGAAGGCACTGTCGACGTGGATCAATCCCTCCAGACCAAACAGCGAACCCGTGGCTTGGGGAATGGGAAGGGCAGTCACGCGTTCCTTTTAATGTCAAATGCAGCGACACTTCTACGAGCAGACACGGTTCCTCTTGCTATCGCATTGTGGAGGCTTCGGCTATGGGAAGGGCAGGGGTGGGACCTCGGAGGGTCTACAGAGTACGTCGGACCATGGGCAGATTGCTAACAGTACTACCGCTTTGCCTACTCGTTCTATTCCACATACAACACACATTGGTTTCCATCTGGATGGTTGAAACGCAGACTAAAGTACAGCAAGAGAATTGCGATTGCATCATGCCTCAACAGCCATGGGTACAGGTTCATCGCCAGCCTTCTTGGTGGACAGCGGTGAGCCGAGGACCTCCTTGCCCTCCCAGAACTTGGGCAACTCATTCCCGGGCACGAACAGCCGCTCGACGCCGTCCTCGGTGATCACGCACATGCGGATAACACCGCCCGAAGAGCCGTCTCTTGACATGGCGAGGGCAAGAGCTGACACGCAATGTATCAGTTAGTGTTCGAGTGGAAGTGAGCCTAGAGGACTGACTGTTCTTGACGAATTGAACCGTCTCATCTCGGCCCCAGCCGTCCTGGTATGTCGCATCACAGTATCCGTAAACGTAAGTAGAGCCAGAGCCTTTGCAGCATCGCGTTGAGCACGCGGTATAATGGAGCAGATGTCCGACAACGTACCTCCGATGGCCCATGGCTGCCGGAAGAGACCGCCACCCAGAGGAATATTGTACACACTCGGACCGACATCCTTGTCCCAGCCCGCAACGATGATCCCAGCGGACAGCGCGTCCTTGTTTTCGTAGCAGAACTTGTCGAAGACGCTCGCGGCAGTGTGGACGGGCGGCCGTTGGCCATGCATCTGTCTGTACTTATGTTCAGCGGATATGCAGCGGACGAGAAGAGGAAGAGACGTACGTGTACAGCTGGAGGTAGTAGTGGACGTAGTCTGCGATGGCTTGTGTGTCGGCCGCGGAGCCTGAGCGACAGCAGTAAATGCGGTCGTGGACGTGCGTGAGCTTGTCCGTTACACGATTTGCCTGAATGCCTAGTCAGTACGGGTTGTGTCGTCGCCCTCTAAGAACGCACAATGTAGCTACCAGTCGTAGTTCGACTGTCTGCACCCACTACCACACCGTCCTTGAATTGGACTGCCATGATCGAGGTCTGCACATCCTCCCCGTCAGATCGATCCTGAAGATGGATAATAGGCGACGTACACCGAGGTTGACCTCCCCAGTCTTCAGACGGCTGATATCAATTGTCTCCATGGCGGTAGTTGCGGTAGATGAGGTGCAAGGGGGAGAGACGATGGACGCGCGGTGGAAGGGTAGTTGTGGCTGAAGAGGTGACGCGTCTCGACGCGCGTCGAGCTGCACGCACCCCGCCTCCACCTCCTGCTCACACCCACCCGTATTCATATAACGCTGTATTTGCGCATACGTCTATCTCACGAGAACACACGAGCCATGGCACCATCTCAAGTCGTGACCGCATACAAGCAATTGCAGCAGGCTTTTACTGCGCGGCCCTCTGACCCGAAGAAATGCGCATCCTTGCTCGCAGATCTCAAGGTGCGCATGTACACGCTTGCAAGACGTGCGATACGACTGACCACCATTCCCGGCGGAGCAGATAGCCTTGAGTGAGCTGGGCCTCTTGGTGCCAATGGGCGATGCTAGCCTCGAAGACTTGGTTCTGGCTCGTACGTTTCTCTGTGCCCTTTAACATGTTATTCTACCTGATCACCACACTATAGGCGACGTGCTGGAGATTGGCGCGTTCTGGAGCATTCGATCAAGAGACATCCCCTCCTTCGACCGCTACTACTCGCAACTCCAGACATTCTACAATGACTACAGGTGCCACACCTCCCGTCCTTGCCCACCCATGCATACCACTGACCTGCCGACCTCAGCTCCGTCCTTCCGCCCTCATCGCACGAATACCCCATCCGCGGGCTCTACCTCATCCGTCTCCTCACGCAGAACCGCATAGCCGACTTCCACACCACCCTCGAGTCGCTCCCGCTCGCCGCGGACTCGCTCACCTCGAACCCGTACATCCAGCACCCCGTGAACCTCGAGCGCTGGCTCATGGAGGGCAGCTACAGCAAGGTGTGGAAGGCGCGCGAAGAGGCACCCGCGGAGGAGTACAAGTTCTTCGTGGACAGCCTCATGAACACCATCAGGTGCGTATTTTTTATGCAGCCTCATAGCGTAAATTAATAACGGTGTATGGTTCAGGAACGAGATCGCGAGTTGTGAAGAAGCGGCCTACGAGAGTCTGCCCCTCAAGGACGCGGGTACGCTGCTGTTCTTTACCAACCAGAATGAGTTGCTTGTATTCGCGAAACAGGTAAGCTGATATTATGGTGTCTCGTTCCTCGCTGATGTATTGTTGTGCAGCGCGGGTGGCAAGTGAACTTGACAGCGGGGACTACTACCTTCGTGAAGAAAGGCGAGGAGAAGATCGAGATACCGAGGGAAAAGTTGATCGCGGCAAACCTAGCACTTGCGCGCGAACTAGAGCAGATTGTATGAGTGTGCACAACGGACCCTACGCTTTGTTGTTTTCTTCTTGTCTTGGCTCACGAAGTGCCTGATCCGTGTGCCGCAACTGAAGTTTTGACATCTTGAATCGACAGCAAGTCCGAATACAATACATGGTTAACACAGCTACTACTCGAAGTTCTCAAGGCTCTCCTTCGCTTTCCGCGACGCTTCATCGTACAGATCCTTCGGTACGGGTAGGTGCAAGCCATTCGTCTCATCACCGATCCAGGACAGCTCGAGTTCGAAGTCCTTTTCCTTCGCATCGTCATGCACGAGGTAAATACTGAGGGCAATGAGATGCACGTTCGAGTTCCAAGGCAACCGAGCACGTACATCCTGGCAGCCTCCAAGACTGCTTCCCTTGTTGACAGCTCGGCGAGCTTGAGCTTCTCCAACTCTGTCTTTGCCAACTGTCGGCCCTTCCCTACTGCTGCGCCATGGAAGCCCTGAGCGCGGCAGACATCAGTTACTGCCCTTGCATATATATGATTGCATAACGCACGTAAGAAACACCGCTGGGCTCGATAACAAACAACGCCGGGCCCGTCTTGTCAACTCCGCCGATGATAGTGCTGCACCCAAATGGACGGACAGAGGAGTACAATGTGTATGCTTGCACATAGAGGCCCACGCGATCGACCAGCGACTTTGATGATTTCGAATATCAGCGGGTGTGGTACAGGGACATGGACGAACCATACCTGGACTGTCGGCGGTGAACGCCACATCGCGAAGAGACTGGAAACCTCATCTCTTGCACGGTTGGCTAGGTGCCGGCCATCTGCGAGAAGTCCGGAAGAGGCCTACACATGAAATTGAG